TGCAGTGAGAGCAGAGGTAGGCCAATACTGAGTGCTTCTGAAAGTCCTACTGTGTGTGTATGGTCTTCAGATGGTAAGCCATCTGTAACAGGGGGCCTACTTGGGTCAATCTCCGTGGCCCACCCACCTGTTCTTGGGCCAACCACCCGCCTTCTCACCCGCCACACCTTGAAGTTAATTGATTAATTAATTGATGTCAATTAAGCAGGAGGCTACCCATTTTGGTGCCCCGATGCCAAGGGGCGCTCTCTGCGGCTCCTTTCCTCCCCTATACCACAGCCCAAGCCTCGCAGATGGCATCTTGATGTTCACATCATCACCGGCCCCCACACTGGGCCCCAGAATCCTCCTAACAGGACCCCTCCGCGATCCCTCCATTTAGGCGGCCTCTCCACCTTCATTCAGGCTACCTAGCCCCCCGAAACTATTTTCTCCTCTTGGGTGTGGTCCCCCCGGGACCTCTGGCTACCAGCCCTGGCCCACCTCCAAACCAGTCAGGACCCAAGGACCCTGGCTCTTGGGCGTCCCTCGCGGTGAGCCCCTGGCTCTTTTGACCGTCTTGGTCCTGGCCCCAGCATGGGCCAGTTGAGGGTACTCTCTCGGGTCAGGCCTCAAGCCCCTCACTCCCTCCCAAGGTCTGCCCTCTGGGCCCTTCACACAAACGGGGTTACCCACCCGGTGGTGGGGGCTAGGGGTTAAGGCGCCCCGGCCTGCCTTTCACCAGGGTGGTAACTGACCTGGCATTTCCTGGGGGCTCCCGTGCCACTGAGAGCCCCACCAGGCCCCCCCACTCCCAGCAGGGTGCAGTTTTAGGTCATGCCCAGGACCAGGAGCCTCCTGACTATCCCCTACAGCTCCTCCCTTACCTCCAGATGATCTCAGCAGCCCTCCAAAAAGGGCTCCCCCCACCGGGCCCCTGGTGGCTGCCAGTTCCAGGCCCTTAAAGTGGCAGGCACACACAGTGCCCTGCCACACCATCTTAACAGCATGTATCTGAAGCCTCAAGCAGTGACTTTGTGATGACTAGCATATTCCAGGGCATTGTCCACATTTCTTGGGTGGCTTTAGCAAAGTAAACTACAAATACAGTTTTTTGTAACATGTTCAGTAGCTTTATTCTCACCTTTATCAACTGTTCGCTGTACGTGATATTTTTCTCCAGTAACATTTTTGAAAAACATTGGAGTGGGATGGGAATTGATAACCAAAGCTCGAGGTAATGTGGTCATATGAGATCAATTGAAGCTCCAGGGAATAAGGGAAAATTATATCCTAATTAATGTCTACAATCAGAGAGAAGAAATAAATAGCGTAAAGAAAAAATGGATCAGTTACACCCAGATTAAATTAACTTGTCCTTGACTTAATTGATTAAATCAGTTCTGAGTTCTCCTTACATCTTTGTATGGATCTTATCATTTAGGGAAGCATCAGCTGATGTGGGTTGGGGTTTTTTATTTTGTGTTTTTATCAGGGAGAGAAAAGTAATTGTCCATAAGAATATTTCTTTTTTTAAAAAAGATGAATGTGAAGGCCATTGCATATAGATATTTTTTCCTTGGATAGAAATTGAGAGCATTTGTACTGTGTGACTGGAAACAGTGAGATTCAGCTGAGGGCAATATATCCTGAAATTCCTTATTTAACTCTATTTCCTGTATGAGATGTCATAATAAATGTTTTCTTCTCTGAATAATAATGTTTGTGTGATAATGGAAAAGCAACTGGGAGTTGCAGATGTGAATTTATCTAAAGTTCAGCAAGAAAGGATCCATTAAACTCTCTGCTTTATCTATTGCCTTGTTTACAACAAAGCAAATTGGCTTCCTTTAAAGGCTTTCATATTTTGAACATGCATTATGGAGTAGATTTTTGCTGACATAGCCCCAATGACCTCAATAGAACTATGCTTGTTTACATCACTTCAGTATCTGATTATATGATTGTGCCCCCCATGCACATCCTAAATGAAGTTTCTAGTTCTTTAGCAATTAATTTTTAAAGAATATGACTTTTTAGGGTCAATATGAATATTGACCCTAAATTCATTCTGTTTTAACAGCTCTCCTGTTGTTTGGTTTTCTTTGCAGTTTCCTTGGGTCTTTACTTCCCCAGGAGAGAATACTCTGAAAATGTCTACATAGATCAGCCTGCAGGGACACCGCTACTGCACATCCATGCCTTGCAGGATTTTCATGGGGAGGAGGTGCACTTTCAGCTGTGTCAGCGTATCCTTATTCATCGAATTGGGACACATGAAAATCAGTGGTTTCAAATCAAAGAAAAAACAGGGCTTCTCTACCTCAATAAAAGTCTGGATAGAGGAGACTTCGATATCCTGTGTAAGTCAGAGAGAAGTAGCACCAGTTGCAGTAATGTCTGTTGTCAAAGCCAAGCACTTTTCTAATGGGATTTATCCAGCAGCGTACAAGTATTGAAATGGAAGAACCATTTATTCATTCTAGGTGAGCATTGGGACTGACAAAAAGAAGTAAAAAAGTAGATAGATGCAGTGATAGACACACACGGAAAAATTAACACTAAGGCTAAAAAGAAACGGGGTTAGTTGTCAGGTGGCTGAATTAGCTACTGAGTTCCCTGATGCATATCAAGGGAATTGCACCAGTTTAAAAAGAAATCTAGCGAATGTAGTCCAGAATCGTAATGAAAAGGTATTTCAATCATTTTAATTTTTGTATTGTCTCTCTCTTATTTTGGTAATTTAACAGTATGCACTGAATTCATTTAAGGGTGTGTACTTTAAAGGTTTGTTCAGCTCAGTTGATTCAGTTACATTGATGTAGCTGCTCTAATGTAAACAAGCCCTTTAACTCCAAATAATCCAGACACATGGAACATTTTGGTATGCATATTCTTGGATAAAGGGGTTTGATGAGGACTTCATCACTTAGGATTCAAATGTTTTTGAAGAAATGTGTACCACTGAATCACAGAAATACATTATCTCCTCTTCCTCCTGTACTCAATAAATAGCGAGAGACGTTTTCATAGTTTTGATCTACAAGGAAATTAGGTAGCTTGTAATAATGAAACCAAAAGTGGGTTAAGCAGATTTAATGATCCCGAACTGATGGAATGACATACACTGCATGATTGGTTTCAAGGACTGGTAGGGCTCTGCAATAGGCTGGTCTGGAGTAGTAACAGAGCTTTAAATGCCATATCAATAAGGAAAAATGCAAAATACTGCATTTCAGAAGAAACAATAAAATGTACAAATCTTCAATAGTTCAGAAAAGGTGGTCATAGAGGACTGTCAACTGTATATGTGGCAACAATGAAATATTGTTCCAAAAATTATCAGTATATATTGGCCTACATTGATCAGTGTTCTATAAAAGTCATGGGAAAGTGCTGTTGAGATCTCAACTGTGACTGGTTTTGGACATCATACTTTAAAGAAGGCTGTTGGTTAATTGGAGAGAGCAGAGAAGAGCAACAAAAATTATAAGAAATCTAAAATAAACATGACATCGATGGAAAGATTAACAGAATTGGGATTATTTAGTTTACTGAAGAAAAAAAAGAGTAGTGAGTTGCTAAATCCTCAAATATGAAATGGGTTGTTATAAAGACGATGGCCATCAATTGTACTTATTGTGCATATGGGACAGAACAAGAGGTAACAGATTAAAATTGCAAGGAGGGAGGGTTTTTCTTGTATGTGAAGAAAGTCTTCTCTAGCTATGAGGGTAATTACATGCTAGAAAAGATTATTTAATGAGGTTGTGGAATGGAAGTTTTTAGGGGAGGGTACATTCACATTTTTCTGGGATGGGTTAGGTAGAGATAGTCTTCCCTCAGGTAGGTTGAATTGGATGACCTGGGGTCTCGCCCAGCCCTATGTTTATATGATTTTATGACAAGCATCTTACTGAATCAGGAGACCAGTATCTAACTTTTTTGTGAGGAAAGGAGGAGCATGTGAAAACTTCAGGCTTCCAGTCATCATATGGAGAAAGAGTTTAGCTGATAGATTTTTACTAAGGGACATGCATGTTTTACTGGCTGATCATTTTTTGTTTGTTTGTTTCTATTCTGCAGCTGGAGGAAACTGGGTTTCATTACCAAAGGCAGTTCTTCAGGTCTCTCTTTCATCCCATCCCTTCCAAGGGAAAAAATGTGAATCTCCCACTTACGCTGTGGTTTCTCTCTTCATCATCAATGCCACTGCACCACCTTGCAGTTCTCGGATAGCAAGGCAGCTCTGCTTCACAGAAATGGACCTCTCCTTTCACATCAAAGAGAATAAACCACCCGGCATGTTTCATCAGCTTCAGTTACCCCAAGTACAGCATATGTGTCAGAACCTCAGCATTTCCTACAAATTGCTAGCAGGTAAATCTAGAGGTTAAGTGTTTGGATACCAGTAACACTAATAAAGATTTCTGATAGAGTAGCTACACTCAGATCAACTACTGGATATTTTATGCTCGTTCCACATAAGGAGATGTCCTTGCCAAATGGGAGCTCAGCAGCAGAGTGGGCTGCAGTGAAGGGCATTATTGTTAGGTTATGTCTATGCTGCTTCTGTGGCACATCAGAGAGCATCACCAAGATGCATGCTCTATCCACCCATTCTCACTCTGCACACACCAGTCCCCAAAAACGACTGTGCTATCCCAATCAACCACAGTGGAGATAAATGTCAAGAGTGGCAGCAAGGAGTGCCCTCAAGGCAGCTTCTTATGGTGCATGTAGAACTGAAGCAGATGGGCAAGACATGCTTCTCAGGAGCACCACAGAAGCAGTACAGACATGCCCTTAATGAAGAGAAAAACTTAGTGTTGCCCAGTGATTATGATTCATAAGATATTCCTTTTGGATTCTAAGGTTGACCCTTCCCTTTACTGCCTCAGATAGTGGTATCAGTAGGTGTATCAAAAAATTATCAAAGAGCATTAATAGGGAGGGATTTTCCTCATTTACACTGTGTCTTTTTCAGCTGAAGGGCTGCCATTTCGCTACAATGAGTCTACCACAGGGGTGAGTGTGGTACAACGGTTGGATCGGGAAGAAAGAGAGAAGTATGAGTTGATTGCCAAATGTACAGTGAGAGAAGGTTCCAAGGAGATGCAGGTTGAGGTGCCTTTTCTGGTGAATGTATTAGATGAAGACGACTCTCCCCCCTTCCTTTTCAATGGCACTAGCACGGCAGATGCTATTGTGAAATTCAACAGAAAAGAGGTAGATTTCTTTTCTTTTTTTTAAATTTCTGAATGTTCATTAGAAATACAATGGAAGGGTCATGGCTATTTGGGTGTTTCAGACCTTGTATACCAGCCTGCAGGATAACATACCTCAGCTCACCATGTAATCTATAGAACTCTAAGAATGCATCAGCAGCAGCAGCATGTGCAAGATTTTCCCCCCTGATGTTTCAGTGACAAAGTAGTTTGGGGCCAGATATTAAGAAGTAAATAGAAATACATAAAAACAATTGAAGGGGTGAACCCAACCCACCATCCAAGGTGGAGGAAGCCAAATAAGAAAGCTCCCTGTTTAGGTAGGTGTTCTTGTCATAATAGACCTCCTCAAAGTACTAGCCAGGTTACTGAGTACATTTCTGATTTATTTGTTTAGAAGATCACATCCATTTGGCTACCAATATTTGCCTCCAACCTGTACATGGGTTTGGCAGAAAAAGTAATGTTCAATTTATATATAATTAGAGACTTCTATAAGTACAAGGAAGCACCTTAAGGAAGGATATATCTTAAAGGCTGCTGCAAGCAATGGAGAGAGTAGACACATTCTTAAAGGAAATGTGGAGTGGGGAGGAGTGGGGTGGCACATGGCTGAACACAGAGCAGCGGCAGCCACCACGTGCGAGCTTCCCCCCATGCCCTGCATCCAGCCGGGTGGGTGACACCTGTGCGGCAGCGCAGGATGGTGCATGGTGGCACTCTGTCCCTGGCCACCCATGCATACCCCCTAGGGCCTTCTCAAGTACCCCCGGGGGTATGTGTACCCTCAGTTAACAACCCCTGGTCCATGGCTGACTGGTGCCTCCCGAGTCTGGGGAGGCACCAGATTGCCAATGGGAGGGGTGCGGAGGGGTCTCCCAGCTGCTGTTTGCCAACTGGGGTGGGGTCCCCCCCAGCGGTCAGTTGCCAAGCCAGTGGTGAAACCGGAAGTGCACTTTCGCTGGCACTTCCAGTTTCACAGCTGGTGCTTCCAAGGGGTGCACATGCACCCTGTATATGTCACCAATGTCCTGGTCTAAGAGATTTTATTTTCTTTGATTCATAATAGAATTAGAGTCACCTCTCTGCTACTCTGAGCACTTCTAATATCATTTTAAAGAAAAAAATACAACCAGAAGTAAATCGGCAGTAAGCCTCTGATCTAATAGGTAGGACATTGCTCTTAAACGACCAGACAAAATCTTTAACTGTTACTGAAGCTCAGAAATGCTAGGCCACTTAGGTGAGTGGGTACAATATTGTTATGTAGTTATGAGGTTCTATAAGGAGAAGTACTAAGTCCTGCACTTAGGATGGAATAATCCCATGTACAGCAACAGGCTGGGGTAGACTGGCTAAGCAGCAGCTCTATACAAAAGGACCTGGCAGTTACACTGGACAGTAAGCTGGATATGAGCCAACAGTGTGCCCTTGTTGCAAATAAGGCTAATGGCATATTGGGCTGCATTAGCAGGAGTGTTGCTAGCTAGGTCAAGGGAAGTGATTATTTCCCTCTATTCAGCACGGATGAGGCCACATTTGGAGTATTGTGTCCAGTTTTGGGCCCCCCACTACAGAAAGGATGTGGAAAAGTTGGAGAGAGTCCAGCATGGGGAAAAAAAATGGTGAGGGGGCTGTGGCACATGACTTCTGAGGAGAGGCTGAGGTAACTGGGCTTATTTAGTCTGGAGAAGAGAAGACTGAGGGGCGATTTAATAGCAACCTTCAACTTCTTAAAGGGTGGTTCCAAAGAGGATGGAGCTGGACTGTTCTCAGGGCATGTATAAAAGTGCCCTGTGCATGTTTATAGCACTGTATTTTAAAGCACTTTTTATAGCACTATAAAATTACAGTAGTCTTAAACATGATAGAAGTGCAGTGTTTGGTGGAGGGGGCCTCTGAGCCTCTGTGCACTTTCCAGGCTAGGAGGCAGGGGTCACTCCAATATTCTCCTGGGACTTCTCCACTGATCAGAAATGTGACCAGTATGCAAAAGTTATGCAAAATGCAAATTTAATACCTCATTTAACAAAGGTTCATTTAAAACACTACCCATTTTTTAAGTACTATTAAGTCATGCACTTCTGTTAAGTCATGGCAATAAAGCATTTAACATGGCAGGACATACAACTTCTGTATACATCCTCAGTGGTGGCAGATGACAACACAAGGAGCAATGGTCTCAAGTTGCAGCAAGGGAAGCTTAGGTTGAATATTAGGAAAAACCCTCTCACTGGGAGGGTAGTAAAACACCGCAACAGGTTACCCAGAGAGGTTGTGGAATCCTTGGAAATTTTTAAGACCTGGGTAGAGAAAGTCTTGGGTGGGATAATTCAGTTGGGGAAGGTCCTGCTTTGACCATCAGTCAAAGCAGCAGGGTTGGACTAGATGATCTCCTGTGGTCCCTTCCAACCCTAATTTTCTATGATTCTATGGGCTCTTCACTGAGCATCCTTTACCACCAGTCTCCTTCCCTCGTAGTTTCTGCTATATGGAGGTGGTAAAGCAGTTCTGAAGCCTAGAATGGCTTTAGAGAAAAAGATTAAGAAATGTGCATATATTAAACTAGTAACACAGCATTCAGCTGAGACTTTCTGTAAGGAAAAACTCTCTGAAAAAATCATCTCTTAATAATGACCATTATGGTTCACACATTTATTCATGTGTGCTCAGCCTCAGTTATGCATAATATTCCAACACACATTCAGTCACTTTCCTCAGGGGACTTCTGTTTAATAATGATTCACTGACAGATGTATTTATTGCAGTGAGATTACCTTTCAAAGTAAACTGAAGTTTACATTTATTTGGCATACAATATTGGATGTTTGCTGCCACCTACAGGTTACAATTACTAAATTACAAATGTGTCTTGTATAGCTAGTCTGAAAGTGGCCCATTTTTCCTGAAAATTCTTAGATTTTTCAGTTTCCTTTTACTCCAAATTTGTGAAGAAAAGTAGAAATAATTCTTCAAAGACTGAATTGTTCTTAACATTTGTTTTTCAGTTGCATTGTTTTGATGTAATGTACTGTAGTTATGGAGTTGCAAGACATATTCATAATTTCCCATTGACATTTTGTTTCAACAAAATATTTTGGTACACTTGAACTGGCATTTTCAGAGTAAAAATGTTCTGCTGGTATTTTTTTTTTCAACCTGCTTTAAGAACTAGTTTACTTGAACATGAAAGATCATAGATTTGGATAGAAATATCAGTGGCCAGTAGAACAACAAATACATCAAGTTAGTGTGGGACCTACCACGTGGCAAAAAGACATCCAATGAAGAGCCAGTACAGAGCAATCTGTCAGATTAACCACAAGGCTTGGAGCCCAAAGCTGTCTAACTGTGTTTGTAAATCTATCACTGACTTTGTGGCCAGGAATCTGTCACTTTGCCTCTATGTCTCTGTCTCCTCCACTTTTTAATAGATGATGCTTCATTTATCTGCTTCAGAGGAATATTGACTAGTGTTCTGTTATTTTATACCTCAAAAATTAAGTATTATATCTAGGCGTAGCCTCTTTATTAGACTCTGTCAGGAGTCTGAAGGATAATATCTCTTT